CTTGAGTATTATAGATTCTCAGAAGTTTATCTCATTGTGTAAGCTTCTATCTGAAAATTTCAGAGGAATCAAGGCTGATAATGTTTTTGACTTTAGTCTTGTAAACTCAAGGATCAAAGAAGGAGCTTATGAAAATTCACCCACGCTCTTCCTCTCTGACGTACAACAGGCAATATTTGATTATCTTGTTTCACTTTTTATTCTTTCCTTTATTTTACATTTTTGCTGAATTTCTTGCGAGACTTTTTATTTATCACAAGTGCTTAGAAAATGAGCTAAATATTTATTTCTGGAGAAAAGAGAACCAATTTAATGTTTCTTTTCCAATTTTTCATGTTTAATGCCTGCTTTCTTTGTATTTCTAACAGTCCCTATGTTCTATTTCAGCAGGCATTCTTTTACACACCTTTTTTCACATTATATTTTCATCGTTCATATTGAAAAATAACTTTTATGAAATTGTTTGTTTCCTTATTGCACTTTTGTTTCTACATTAGATATCATTTGGACTGTTGCTTCAAATATGCTATTCCCCATTTTCTGATTTCTAAACTCGGGGAAGTTTGGATAGTATTTGTTGGTGTTGGAGTTGTACTTTCAACCACAGCTGTACTCCATTACTTTGTCTTGATTTGCCATCACATAACAGTTATGTTTGATCTTCTTCAGATATGGAGAAAATTTCAAGCCATCGGTACAGAATTGGTATCACTGGCAGAAAGCCTCTCAGACTTTTCCAGAACTACCTATCGAGAAAAGGTGAAAACAAGTATCTTCAGCAATTGATATGATGCTATAAGAATTATAGACTATATATTTTAATCATATCTATCCTATTTTCTTTTAAAATGCTATCTGGTTTAATCTGCAATCTATTGTGGTTACCACTGGTGTTTGACCCTTCTATCTTTGATTTTCTTGCAATTTTCAACCATGTAGGTAGGAGTTTCAGGACGCAATGTATTTGAAGATGGAAAACATGAGGTAAAAGAGCTTGTATTATGCTGCATTTTTATTATTTTATTGAAAAATTGTACAAAAATTTAATAACTATATTGCTTTAGACAAATATATGCGAAAAGGAAGATTGAAGCACTAAGACACCACGATGTTGAGGTGTTGTTTAACTGGACTGGATTTAACTTTCATTTAGTTGTAGAACTTTGTCTATTCAAATTAAGTTCTTTTGTAATTGTAGGCTAAGTTTTAGACTATTTGTACGCTAAGTGAATTACCCTTGCTCGGTTCATCCTTATCCACTATGTGACCAACACCTCATATGGGTCTTGGTATCTTGGCATCATAGGTCTACCTTTTGAATTATCAACCTCATCTATTTGGTGTTTCGTGCATGTAGGACTCTTTCACGTCCATCCATGTTAATTAAGGATATTTTTTATAAGAAGCATCCTATTGATGTGCAATAAGTCATCTCCAAATGCCTAAAATAGTGGCACAATGGTATTTGTTTTTTGTTTTTCCTTTCTATAAGAAACAGAGACCATATATTGTAGGTAAGAAGATACAATAGAGGGGAGATGAGGAGTCCCCCTGAGACCAAAGGGCTACAAAAAGGAGGCCCAAGTGGCATATTATTTGTTTGATATAACAAGTGGCATATTAATTGTTTGATATAAAAAGTAAGACTTTCTTTGGAAGGCTACATGAAAGGGAGCTTAAAAATATATAAAAAAAATTATATACTTGAATTTGTTTCAGTTCTTTAAAAATGGTATATCTCACATGTCGCCTATGTCATGCTTGAGATACAGATATTCAGATTGATATTTATGGGAATAATATACTGCATTTTCCCGTTGGCTTCCTTTCTCTTGAATGGTTCTTTCCCACTCAATTGGTTCTGTAGAGTTAAAAGGTTCTGGTTTTTGCATCTTTTATTTCTCCTTTTATATATTTTATATATTAAGGTCTCTCCTAAGAGTCTTGTCCCCAATCTTCAGTATGTTATCACTTAACATCAGAGGGTAAACTAGAATTCCCACTTAGAACATGAAAATTTCTTCATCCCCGAGAGGTATTTCTTACCAGTGGTTTTGAAATATGAAGGTAAAAGCGACTACGTTTGTCTTATCATAGTTCAATGATTAAGGCACCAATTACCATTCTAAAGATCAATGGTTCGACCCACCACCTTGCAAGTTGTACTAAAAAATGTTGTATGTATATTATGATGGGATATCAACGTGTAACAATTATGAATGCACCTTGTCCTCACATTGTGGGTCTTAAGTTCATTCATTTGTTTAAAGGGTTTGTAACATCATCAAAGCTAATTTACTAATTGCCTCCTCTTGAATTCATCTGTATAGAGTTGGATTTTAAAATGATTTGTTATTTTTACTGACATGCAAATTTCTTGTCCATTTAGTCCTCTACTTGGGAATCACCCTCTCATGCTAAAGCAGAGCATATGGATGGTTATGGTGCGTATAAAGTTTGTGCCTGCAGAAGTTGTGGAGAGAAAGCAGAAGGGATTAATTGTCTGGTTTGTGATTCATGCGAGGAAATTTACCATATATCCTGCATCAAACCTCCCGTCAAAGAGATTCCCCTTAAGAGTTGGTACTGTGCGAGTTGCACTGGAAGTGGATTTAGTTTGCGTCATGACAACTGTGTAGTGTGTGAGAGGTTGAATACGCCCACAATGCTAGCCAATGGAGTTGGTGAAATTCTGGAAACAAGTGAACACAATCATTTTCATGGGGATGACAATCCGAATTATTGTACGGATGATGGATTTGAACAACTAAAGGACAGCCAAGACTTAGGCCCTTGCAAAATTTGTGGAAATGGAGTAGAAGGCGGTGATAAATATAGAATGTGTAGCCACCTATTCTGCCCTCATCAATTTTATCACACCAGGTGCTTGACTAAAAACCAGTTAAAATCTTACGATACATGCTGGTATTGCCCTTCTTGTCTTTGCAGAGCATGCCTCATAAATCAAGACGACGACAAGATTGTTTTATGCGATGGTTGTGATCACGGATACCACATTTATTGTATGAGACCCCCACTTGCTGCAATTCCAAAAGGACAATGGTTCTGTAGCAAATGTGAAGCTGGAATCCAGGCAATTCGCAGGGTGAAAATGGCATATGAGAATTTTGAAAACAAGCGAAGTAAGAGAGGTAAAGATACATTTGGAAAGTCGGGCAAGAAACGGATCAATGGAGGTGATGAAGAATCGGATACAGGCAGGGGAGGAATGGATATGCTTCTTACAGCAGCCAAGACTCTAAATTACGAAGAGGGTCTGACTAACCTTTGATATAAATAGCTGAGTCGAAGAAAGGTCTGGAGCACGAAAAATTCCATGAGACTGATTACACATTTTAATTCTCGTAGAATTTTGTTTTAATATGTTCATGGACGTAATATTCATTAGTTTTTGGACATTTAGGTATGCTGACTTTTTGGGAAATTGTAACTTGGAATGATATCTGTAGGCTGTGTAAAAGAAACTTGGCACATCTTCAAATGAGGAGTCTGAGAAACCAGGATGCTGTTTGATAAAAGGAGATCCAGGTGAGAATCAACCTCGTATTGTTTTTTACTCATTTTGTACCATTAAGTATATAATCTCCAGGGATTGTGACAATGCTGATGTGTCGGTTCTGTTGTAAAATCCATTTAACACTATGGCAATCAAAGGAAACGATGCCTTTTTGTATGCATTCTTAGGCATTCTTTATTACTATAATTGGCATTTGATATCTTACATGAATATTTATTCTACCATTTTTTGTAATGTATGTTATATTTTTGGGATTTTGTATCTATCTACGTTGAAGTCTCTGTTTATTCAACATATTTTATGCTTCCATATGATAATCATGTACAGCAAACTGAGCTTCTCATTTTGTTTGGTATCTATAGAACATTGTTTATATGGCATTAGCTTAAGGTCTTCAAGTTATGGCATTAGCTTAAGGTCGTCAAGTTATGGCATTAGCTTAAGGTCTTCAAGTTATGGCATTAGCTTAAGGTCTTCAAGTTATGGCATTAGCTAAGGTCTTCAAGTTATGGCATTAGCTTAAGGTCTTCAAGTTATGGCATTAGCTTAAGGTCGTCAAGTTATGGCATTAGCTTAAGGTCTTCAAGTTATGGCATTAGCTTAAGGTCTTCAAGTTATGGCATTAGCTTAAGGTCTTCAAGTTATGGCATTAGCTTAAGGTCTTCAAGTTATGGCATTAGCTTAAAGTCTTCAAGTTATGGCATTAGCTAGATCACCATATGTAACTGTGCTTCCTTTAGACCTTTCCAGTAGTATTAGTATCTTCCATGGTTTTTCAAGTTATTGGATAAATATTCAAAAGACATGCTAGTGAAGTCGGAATTTTTAGTAGTATCTGAAGGCAAAACTTCTGGTAACTCATCAATCTGAGGGCCCATCTCTCCATTAGCTTAGTTAAGTAGCTCAGCTACGAGTGAGTAGGAATATACCAAGTGGGGAACATAGAGAAGTCACAGGTGGGTAGGGATTGGGAAGCCTTCTCTATCCTCGCCCTACTTCATATTCAATCCTTAGGCAGGAACATGGATGAAGAATATAATCTAGTTATTGACCTCATTTAGCCATCTAAAAGAAATCTCTCTACTCTCTTCTCATTTTATGTTTTCATTCCATGTTTAAATGAGGATTTCTTGGCCGAGGTCCTATATATATAAGTTAAATGAACATTTCTAGATGAACATTGGCCTAGGCCAATATGCTTCAATTGGTTCAACCGGTTAGAGAACAATAATGACTCAAGAGGATAGAGACGACAATTATTGGTAGAAACAGAGAAATGACACCATTCTTGGGTAGAAAGATCTGAAGACAGATGAAAGGAGAGGAAACATAACAAATTGGTCCTTGATGAAGGTTGAATCAGAAGATGCAAATTTGAGACTATGGTTCATCAAGTACTCACAAATAGGGAGTTCTTCATTCAAGTGGGGAGTAAGACATGTTTAGGTTCTCAAAGTTCGGAATCTAATGAAATGGCAGGCTCCTTATACTGGCCTTGTTCTTTGAGCAATCAAGTATAAAATATATTACAACAGATGACATTTGGATTCCAATACTGGGCAATTAGATTTCTTAGCATCTACTGGATTTATATATATCACAATTATGACAAAACTATAATTGATGATCGTATTGGAAGCCACCTTTCATTACATAAAATAATTTCATATCTCGTCTGCCAAATCCTTGGGTGTTACATAGAATCAACAACAAATCATCATTAAGACCACTCAATGATCTGGAGAGGAGTCTTTATGGAAGTTAAAAGTGTGACTTCATTGAGCCTCCTGTCCTCCCTGTCTCGGCTCTCGCAAGTCCTAGGTACAATTAGTTCAACCAGCAATCAATTTACAGATCAACCAGCAACAATTTACAGAACAAAGAGTTAAAGAAAGAACCAGCAGATTGATGAAAGAACCCAGCTGAAACTCTAGTTAAAAAGGTATTCAACTCCACGGATTAGATGGTTAAAAATTATGCAATCTGTTTTTCCCTTTGATATATTCTCGATGGACTCTTGATTATGAACATGTCTCTTTGTTGTTCATAGGTCTCTTAAATTAATCACCTAATACCCCCCTCCTCCTAGGAGCCGAAGGATTAGTGCTAAGAAAATAGAATGTCCACATCTCTCGGACATAGCACAAGATCATATTACAATACAGGTCAAAGGCCCTGACATTGTCACAAAAGCTTCATCAAACCTTCCCTTTTCTGTCTAGCTTGTGAAGCCATGTTATCGTTGGAAACTATAGCATTACAAAAGTAATTCAAACCTCCCACATCCTAATGCCTCAACCAAGGCATTGAGATAAGCACATTTTGGGTCAATCTTTTGATGTCTCATTAGTTGATTATTCTTTGCTATGATGAAAAACAAAAATCGTTTCAATGAAGAGGCATTCCATACATCCTTCCAATGTCCTAACGTATCTCAACATAGATTATGTATGTGGCCTGTGTGTATCACTAACGTGTCCAAGACTTCATATTATCAAATTACGAAAGGCATAAGAGGGAAGTCATGCTTCAAAAGCCAAACAAGTGTCCGACACAATTCTTTATTCCCAAAACTTCCTTCAAAATATGAGCCTGAAAAGTGAAAACCCATTATGGTTTTGGAAATTCTGGACTCATTCTATTGAAATTATGAGTCTCAAGCGTTGAAGAGAAGATGCCCAAGAAGATAATGAAAAATAGAGACAAAAACATTCTTCAAGAGTGACTATGAAAATAATCTTAACCCTTCAGTTCAGGTCTCCAATGTTTTTCAGCATTGATTGCCTCAGGAGAACGAAAGTTTAAATTATGGTCATCATTAGGGCCAAGAACATTTAACATATCCACCAATCATGCAAATCTAAAGAACAAGAAAGAGATAGTAAATTTCCTAGGAACATAACAATTCGAGTTCGTAAAATGAGATGGAAAGAGAAAACCATATCCCTAGTAGAGTGAACATCAAAAACCAAAGCAACCAAAACTTTTCAAAATCAAGAAGAAACAAAAACAAAAGGCACTGTAGTTAAAGCCTCTTCAGTTCAGGTCTCCAAATCGTTTCCGCATGGAAAATCTCGGAAGAACGAAAGTTAATTTTTATGATCATCCTTAGAGGCGACCTAACAACAGTTTGCGACATACAAAACCAAAAAAAAAAACGAATCATATTCGAAAAATACAAATTCGAAACCCCAAATTTGAGCAGCAAACTGAAGAACAATAAGAAATCAATGACCGCAGAAACCAAATTCTTGGATTCAAATAAACGAAAAGATGAACCTAAAACATCCACCAATTAAATTGCACCACGAACTATAAACATGGAGGTGGAAGACGGTACCACAGTAGCAGAAGCTTCAGATCTGATTTTTCTTTCGCTTTGAATGGATACGAGCGGCAATTTCAGGGAAATTTATAGAGGCAAAGCAGTAAAAACGGTGGAGCCGCGAAAACCCTAGCAGCCGAATTGGGGTTTATTGCAAGGCCCATCATTTACTGGCGGACTCTAAATGGGCTTCGCTCTCGCAATTGGCCCAAATAGTTGATGGACCTTTGAATTTGGGCCAGAAAGTTTAGTGGAAAAATGTGGTGAGTAATTGGGAAATTGGAGTGATAGCTAAAAATGGATGCAAAAATAAATAAATATAATAAAAACGGTTGTTGACATTTTTTTTTTGCTACTACATAATGTCAAGGAGTCAACATAAAGTTCATCGAGAAGACCACATTCATATTGTCCTCTTTGGGCTTGCCCGACTTGGGCTTTTCCTTTCGGGCTTCCCCGACTTGGGCTTTTCCTTTCGGGCTTCCCCTCAAGGCTTTAAAACGCGTATGTTAGGGAAAGGTTTCCACGTTTTCCTCCCCAACCAATGTGGGACATCACAATCCACCCCCTTTGAGGCCCAGCATTTTCGAAGGCACTTATTCCTTCCTCCAATCGATGTGGGACCGCCACCAAATCCACCCCCCTTTGGGGCCAGCGTTCTGACATCACAATCCACCCCCTTTGAGGCCCAGCATTTTTGAAGGCACTTATTCCTTCCTCCAATCGATGTGGGACCGCCACCAAATCCACCCCCCTTTGGGGCCAGCGTTCTTACTAGCACATCGCCTCGTGTCTACTCCTCCTTCGGGGAAACAAGAAGGCTAGCACATTATCCAGTGTCTGGCTCTGATACCATTTGTAACGACCCAGATCCACCGCTAGCAGATATTGTCCTCTTTGGGTTTTCCGTTTCGGGCTTCCCCTCAAAGCTTTAAAACGCATGCTAGGAGAAGGTTTCCACATCCTTATAAAAGGTGTATTGTTCTCCCCCAGTGAGACATCACAATAGTCCAGTCCGTATTAGCAAAGATAGTGAGTCCAAAGAGGACAATATATATTGCTAGTAGTGGACTTAGACTGTTAAAATAGATAAGTCATAGTTTAGCCATGTTTAAATAGATATAATTCTCTTTATTTAGTTCATTTAATCTTTCCTCACATTTTATTTAGTTCATTACGATTTAACCTCAAAAATGAAAATAGAAAATTTAAAGACTAGGCAAAAGTTAGTACGACTCTCCAAATGCATCGGTATAAACATTATAATATAAAACATTCCTTCATCAAAATTTAAAAAATGATAGAATTTCTCCTAAAAAAATACTTGGGGAAATATATTGCAAAATATTTTCTAATATTATTATTTTTATTCAGTAATACAATTTCTTGTGTGGACCATATTAGAGTGTGATTGCCAACTCCATAAGCCACAACCTCTTCCTATAAGATGGTAGTAAATTGCAATTGATGCAAAAGTTCATTCTTCTTTTTCCCTTTATATTCACAATTTTAATTTCGAAACCAAAAAATATAACAATACTGCAAAACACCTGTGGCAAAAACGCTTTCAAGGTTGCTGCTTCGACGCATGGCATGAGCAAGGTGAGTTGTCCTCTACACATTGTGCATGTCATGGCGACCACTTGAAGTAGCAATGTCACTTGATCGTAATATGTGCAAGTTTAATATTAGATCCTTCTTCAGATTAGTCAGCATGGAGATGGTGCTTCCTCTTTCGACATCGGTCGATATACCAAGTTGCATACTTCTGCAGACTTACGTCAACCAAAAGCTTGAGGCTTATGAGCATCACATAGGTCACACCGAAGAGGAGTGGAACCGAAAGAAACCTCCATGGGAGAGGATTGTAAGGAAAAAGGGCAGCATATACCGGCGTCAGCACGCGAATGACCTATATCCAATGCGAACAACAATACTTTATGCATCCAAATTTTTTAACTGAACTTCCAAATATATCATACTCCACAAGTACAGGTCCATTTCAGGCTATTTAAGTGGAATTGGATTAATCTTCCTGAATCTTTAGTTCATACATGATAGCAATACTTGATGCATAAAGAAATTTAAACTCAAGCTAGCAAAAGTGATCATAATCCATGGACAATTCAAGGGTTCTGTTGCATAAATGTTTTAAACCTAAAGACTTAACGATCATATCATGAGGCAAGACAATCCAAGAAGCATATGTCCTACGTAAGCTATCAAGATTTATCAAGTTTTTGGTCGGGATCATGGAACTCTCGCTCGAGAAGTAAGCTGGTCCTTGTTTGGTCATAAGGATAATAGTTCTTATTAGGTCAGGGGCTGGGGCTACCAGCGATTAGTAATGGCATAACCAGAAGAGATGTAGGGGAAAGAAGGTTACACGCTGGTTAGCGCAGCGCATCTGTTTCGGGTATAGAGGTGACGAGGGGTGCTAACCCGGCCACCCAACCCAGCAGGTCAAGGGCGGGCCGGATGAGCTCATACTTGGGGGTTTCTTACGCTATATTTTTATAGTAAAAAAAAATCTCTTACTATTGCAACTTTTCAATCATGAATTAAGTTATTTTTCCATTCAAAGAAAGATATCTAAATTATAGAACAAGCATCCATACCACACATGCTGGCGCAACCGGAATAAATGTCAAATTTTTCTTTGCATCTTCACTTTGCATATTTAGAGCCTAAGAATGGATGTAAGAACAATTAAAAAAAAAGGTTAGATTATGCAAATATGAGATCAAATTGGCGGATGTATTAACGAATAAAGGTAAAAAAAAAAAAGCATAAATGAGAAAGTAACCTGTTTGCAAAGGTCTTCAAGAAACTCTGCATATGCAATAGGCTTTATGCCGTTGAATTTAGCTAAGAATGAGTGTTTTATGATATCAATGAGCATTTCACAGATGAAAACCATTAGGGCGTTCTGCAGCCACCAAACAAAAATAATTGGAAAAGTAATTATACAAATCAATTTTGTAACAAAATGTTACAAGTAAAGATGGTGACGAGAGAACTTACATAGAGAAAATTCCAAAACCAGGGACCCTCCGCCTCCAAAATGTTTTGAGCCAAAACAAACAAGAGAAATGCCAAAATGTGGAATCTTTCAATTGAATCTATCACAATCAATAACAGGAACTTATTTCAATTGAATCCATCACAATCAATAACAGGAACTTATTTCAATTGAATCCATCACAATCAATAACAGGAACTTATTTCAATTGAATCCATCACAATCAATAATAGGAATCTTTCAATAGTGCAGTTTAGGATGCAAATGCTATGCTTCTATTGTATTTCTATTACTTATGGAACTTATTTGGTACGATTTTGTCGAAGCTTTTCATTTGCTTTAAGACTCCTAATTGTGATTATGCAACAAAAGAAGCTGACATACCAAAATAAACCAAGCTGTGGATATTGTCCTTGCTGTAACGCTTAAACACATTGCTTTTAATCTCTGCAAAGTTATTAGACACCAGCAAAGCGAGCAAGGCGTTGTTATGTGCCACAATGCAGGTTGATAGGGTAATTGCCTGAGCTAATAGGATAAAAGAATGAATAAGTATGAATAGTCAAGGAGCCAAAGGAGAATCACAATATCTCAAACTATATGAGAAAGATTCTAGAATTCAAAGAGAAGGATATTTGAGGCAGCCACAGCCAAAATTTGATCAGAAATGAATCTTCCAATCCAGAAGCCCACGTTTTCAGATGGACAATTTGCTAGTCCATCTGCAGAATTAAATAAAGTTTGCAGCACGTCTCCACCAAAACTTTGAAATAGTTTATCAAATATCTGAAACAGGAAACAAGAATTGCGAATATTATTATTCTGAAACGAAAAAAGAACTTTTACATTAATCAATAATGAACAGGAGCACAATACTACAAGAACTTCTCCCAGAGATGCAAAATAACAAAAAGTTCGACAAATATAGATTAAATTGCAAAATAATTAAACCTTTTTGCAAAAACATTAAACTTAAACTAAAAGCATACTTCTTCGATGGAGTACAAACTATAAGAAACTCTTTGTAACTATAACCTCCTTATGATTTTGTATGATTGGAAGGCTCTTATGTGGTTCTCTCTACCCCCGTCCCTCAGACTGTTCTTTGTCTATGGAGAAATATATTTGTTTCCCCTCAAAAATTTGTATTTGTCTCCAAATATCGAGAAGAACATAATGAAAACGATTCCATAAATTAAAGATCAATGCATTTGAAAATCTATCAAATTGATAAAGCACTAGATTAAAAGTATGATTATTCTACACCTGATTCTCAACTAACCTCCAATACATTGTAAACGACATATAGTTTAATTGTTCCTTGACCACGGATCATGTGATAAATTAAGCTGATATCTGAAAAGGTTTTACAATATAAAATAAAAATTAGCAACTTAAAAATGTATAAATTATAACGTGTACAGATAAGACTTCTTCAAAGTTGAACAGAATTATACTCAATTTCTTGCAAAGAAAACC